ACTTGTCCTGAGGAAGTGAGTTCTCTGCAAGCAGCAGGGGCTTATTTTTAACTATACAAAAATTATAATCACAAGAAAAGATTTGTTACAGCCAATGTGAGCTTTTCGCAAAAAGTAGAGACCACAACTTAGTCCACCTCGAACTCAAAGAGACTCAAAGCAAAAGTACATTAATTGCTTAAAGAGAGAGAAACTTTTTTAAAAAATACTTTAAGTCAAACAGGCTTCTTTTTTTTTCTGGAAGAAAAGCTTTCTGTTTTATATAAATATGTCAGTCAAGATATTTTCTTTCTGGGAAAATGAACTGTAACACACATTACAACGAAGTCCAGAGGAAGTTGTGTAGGTTCTGGCCTACCAAGATAAGAAACTTGAGGAATACAGTTGACAATGAGTTACAGTGAGTAGACATGGTGGTAACTGATGTAGATTTTGACTTTGTAAATGGATTGTCATGGTTTAACAGTTATTTTGTAGAGGGAACTGTTCACTTGCACACTTTCAAAAGCAGATTATATTATTTGCTTAGAAGATTGAATTCTTCATTACTGAAGGTAATAGTGGTTTTAGGATCCTAACTGCAAGCACTTGGGCTCAGAAGCTTGGTCTTCAAAAATGAATCAACCTTGCAGCCTCTTGTGGAGAGAACTGAGGCAGGACATGAATTTCTCTGTGCTCATCTACTTATCACTTACCATTGCTTCATCCTTAGCCTCCCCGAATTTAAAACAGAGGGGCTGCCAGTTCAACAATTTTAATGTTGTACAGAGAGAAAAGGGATTAATCCAGGACACATTCACATTTGGAAGCAAGGTGGACTTGGCGGAGCGTTGCTGCAATGGGGAGGCCCCATGGCAGCACAGCATCTGCCCTCCAGTTTGCAGAATTGGCTGTGGCACTGACAAGTCTGCAGGCTGAGAAGAAACATTGTCCTTGCTTTTTCCCTGTCAGAGTTTGCTCCTCTAGGAACCCTCAGCACTTAAAAAGCCTTTGCACCTTAACAGGTTTTCTTGGTGTCAGTCGAAGTGTGGGAAACACTGATATACATAACTCATCTTTGCCTATATGAGGATTAGTAGGAACTTCTTTTGACATTAAAAAGCACAGTCACCTTATTGGAAAGTATCAAATAAAATCTTACTTGCTTTTTTCACCCATGTTTGCTTTGCATTAAATTTCTAAAGCTGGGTAAATTAATTTTGCCAGTCAAAACTGAGAACTGACACTTTCCTTTAAGATTTATTCTGTATCTTTGTCACCCTCATTTCTTGGTCTCCGCCCTGGTTGCTCCCTAGAAGGACCCATGGTTCCTCCACAACTGGGAGTGGGGAAACAGTTTAGGGCCACTTCTGACAAGGGGCAGGCTGGGTTGGAAGGGGTGAGGACTGGCAGGATGCAGCAGTCGTGGGTGCCGTCTCCCCATGAGCAGTTCCTGATTCCCACCCCAGTCCACACCCCTAAACCCTGATGTGAGCTGATCACCTGCTAGCTCCTCCACAGCCACCGCTGTAGCTTCCCTAAGGCTGCTCTGAAGGCGTTCACAGCTGTCCTTCCTAGCAACATGGGCTAAACTGGACTGATTATTGGAAGAGTTATTTCCACAGGCTTTTGTCCTGTTTTGCTTTGGGTTTTTTCTCTGGTTTAGGCTAGCCTTTTTTGTTGTTTGTTGTTGTTTTTTTCTTTCCAATTAAAAAGTAAAGTAAAGCCAGAGCTGACAGAACAGGCCAAACCCATGGAAGAATTGCTTTGGAAAGCTGTAGTTAACTGTGACTTGTAAAAATTTTTCCCAGAGTAAAGTCTGGTGTAAGCATTCTTCAGTTCTGCTGTAGCTATTCTGAAGTTTCATGTGGGATACAAGGCGTTTGACCCCAATCCCATAAATCCACTCCAGAATACAGATTGCAGAGATGAAGCCTGGTGGCTTTTAGTGCAGTTTCCCAAAAAGTGCAGCCCAGCACATGTAAGCAAGGTGCTGTGAGAGCAGCCGCAGCTGTGTCTGGGACCTGTGCTGCACAGCACTGGTGCATGAGTCTTCTGAGAAAATTTATGAAACTTTTTGGCCTACAAGGAGTCCCATCTTGGAAAGATTTTGTTTCATCTATGTTAAATTTTTGACTATGTTAAATAGTGACCTCACATTCACTACTTTATTAATTTCCATTTGAAAATAATGTATGTTAAAACTATATTTTGCTACATTTGCTTAACTTCTAGAAAAGTCCTAACTGGAAGAAATACCAGAGCGTTTCAGTTAGCCAGGGACATAATATATAGCTGACCTGGTAACAGGATGGTGATAAAATACAGGTGGCTCAACAATGTTACAATGGCAAGGAGAAGAGGGAGGATCTTCTGACTCTTCGGCTCTCTCCCTTTACTTTAAAGACTCTGCACCTTTCTTTAAAAAGTAATGATAAAACAAAGATATATTGGTTTGTTGTTTTCTTTATCCTTTTTGTTTGTTGAGCAACTGTGTCTGTTCCAGTGTCCTCATCTCTCATCTTTAAATGAGTCTTCTAGACATTGTCTCAGTACAAATGACTTCTGTTATTTCACAGCTGGCCAAAAACTGAAATCAAATGCTGATTCATGAGCTCCTTCCTATCCATCACCTCTGGGATATTATTCTTGCTTTCAAGAAGAGTTCATTTTTCTTTCAATTCCCTTCTGTGAACCCAAGAGCAGCTTACTGATAAGCAGCATGCTCATAAGGAGCTGAAACACTGTCTTGCCAAAATGCATGTACATTCACCTACAATTCTTACACTTCTCTATAATCTCACTTTGCCCTCTAGTGCCCATACTGTTTTTTTCATGCACTGCGAAGTACCCTGTTGACAGAAATATGTCAAAACTTGTTTTTATTTGGCCATGAGATTTTTAAGGATAGTTATGAACTAAAAGAAAACTTAACGGTATGAGAGTTTCTGAACAATTAGTGGGCCATGAATTAACATATTCCCACTGCAGGCAAGTGAAGCAATAAAACTTGGGATCCTTCATGAGACAGCAGCTAAAAATATTTCATGCTTTTTCCAAGTTTCAGTAAAAATGATGCCATTTCAAGGACAGTTTACTGCACTGCAGAAGCCACCTAGGATATCAGAAAGAGAAAGCTAAGTAGGCTGAACCTCCTTTTATTGTACAGGCTTGAAGAAGTGCAAAAAACAAACAAGCAACAGAAATGAGATTTGAAACAGTTGTGCAGTGGGACCATTTCAAGTGCTGTTGGTTACAAAGCCCAAGAAATACACTTTTTGCCGTAACATTTGTGGCAGGGTGTCACCAGGTGGAAAAATGGCTCTGATACTTTTGCTCTATTTCTTTGGACTTTTCTGTTGTTCTGGATCACGGTGAAGCTGTTGGCTGGTTTTATTTCTGGTATTGCAGCTTCAGACCAGATACCCATGTGCATCATCACTTCTTTAGCTCGCATCCGTGAGTGGTAGAGTATGTACACCCTGCAAAAGAGACCTGTGTTATAGATATGGTACCTGAGATCTACTGTACTATTGCTACTGTTTTTACCAGACAATTTTTTTGTTTAGATGTACCTTTTTATTATCACCCCTTTAAATAATGCTCTACTGGATGGCTGGAGATCAGGGAAAGCTTTAAAGTGGTTCCTCACCTGATGCTTAAACCACCCTCTAGAAATTTCAGACCTCTGGATCTAACCTCACCCTCTCTTGGGAGCGACTGCCATGCACCCTATCCCCTCCTTCATGCCAGACCCAGCAGCCTGTGTTGAATGTACACCAGCCTTGGCCACAGGAAATAGCTTTTTTTTTTTAAGTTGATGGTTTTTTAAAAAAATTTTTCCAATATTCATTAGGTATCAGAGCCTGGATATAACTCTGTTTTCCCCCTTACTAACATACAGCAAGTGACTAGGGAAAACACAAGCATTTGAAATGGAGTTACGCAGGGACAATTTCCCAAGGGTAAAATCTGGCTTTGACCTCACAGAATGTAGTGGATTTTTACTCTGTTGCAAGTTTTAAAGAATTCGACTATATTGCAATTATTACTCAAGACTATGTGGTTTGGATGGGAAATTCATTGGTATACCAAGGACTATTTATATGTTTCTGAGGATCAATTTGTGAGCAAAGGGAAAGAGGCGGAAAATTTCATGCAGGGATAAAACACAGCACTGAATGGTGATGTTTGGGATTGCAGTAGCCAGGATGAATGAGTCCATGAGCAAGTAGCATGTGCTGTGGGCAGATGTGGCTTTAGGGTACTTTTATGTAGAGAAGTTAATTCAAATAAGCTTGTGAAAGAAGTTAAAGTGAGTTGGAAACACAGCAGGAAGGAAAAAAAGCCTTTCCCCCAGATAATTAGAGCAGACAAAGATACTTCCATTAAAAGTAACAATGTCCAACTGAGAAGTTACTGCAGAAGCCATAGATACTGCAAACAATACCCTATGTAGACAAATCCTTCTAGAATTACTTTAATTCTTTGAACAAAGCAAATGTTAGAATGACTCGAATGTACAAAGGGCATGCAAACTTTTAAAGAATAATGAATGGTCTCAACTTAAGCCAGCCCCACTTAAATTAGCAATATAGTACTTTATTTTTGACGCAGGCCCAATCAGTACAAGTCTAGCAATTCCTGTAAGGCGAGGGATGTGTAGTCCATTCACAAATATATGATTAGCTATACCTAGGTGAAATAGAGCAGCACATTTTCTCAGCAGAAAATACCATAGGATGACACTATTTGTCGTAAGATTACAACCCCTTCCTGGGGAGTAACCCTCAGTGAAAAGTCATACAGATTAATTTACAGCTAGTGTAGACACCTGGCTTACCAGGGGAAAAATTTACTTACATTGAATGATGCATTAGATTTGCAAAAATATATTTCAACATAGTTATTTAAATACAATCAAAATTAACTAGAATCACTGCCACAAGCTAGATCATAGAACAAATAACAAATATAAATATTTTTAAAGCTAAGTTATGCTAGCTCAAAATCTTTGTACCTTAGTTGTTAAGCTTCCTTATGACTTTATCAATCAGTTGAAGACATCTCCTCATTTCTGCACGGCTTATCTCCCAGGAGCACAGGTTGTGTTGTTTGTCTTTAAGAAAACAGTCTATTTTTTGGAAGTATTTTTTCAGTTTCAGCCTGTTGACTTCTTTACTCCAAAAGTAGTGGGTCTGCTTCTTGATTACACATGCCTCCAATTGCTCAATTTGCTGATAAAGTCCATTTTGGAATTGTTCTAAAGTTGTCCTATCCCAAGCAGCCAGAGTCAGATTTTTGCTAAAGATATAGAAGATGTGTTGCAAGATCTCTTCAATGGCCACTTTGACAGTTTCTTTCTGTCTGGGCTTTAGAACCTGCTCAGGAAATCTGAAGAACATTTTCTCTCTTAGACATTGTTGAGGAAACTTTTTGCCCATTTTGTCCAAAAGTTGCAGGCTGTTCTCGATCACTTTTCTTTGCTGTAAAGGAAAGTGATTACACTGAAGACTGGAGATGGTGGTGGTGCACAACACTATGAGGCCAATTTGTATCAAGCCAAAAGTGTTCATGATAAACATAAGCTCTTATGTTCCTCCTTTCCTATGTATAAACTCTGAGAGACAGGCTGGGATGCTTTGAAGGTCATTCACAGGCTCCTGTTTCTTCAAAACAATGAAATTTAATTATTCTGTAGGAGAAGTTTTCTTTCATCATTTTTTGGTTTTTAAGGTTTTCCCCCTTGTGTATGCTTTTGACAGTTACCACTTTCATTTTCTGCTTTATGACTTCATTGTCATTTTTTTGCCACTTTCTTTTTATTTCAGCTGGATATTAGAATGTTATATATATATATTAGATTATCTATTCCCTCTTCTTCAAAAATTCTACAGGAAATATAATGAGAATTTGAAAGAAAATGTTACAGAAATATCCTTAGTTTCTTCATATTTTAGCAGAGGAAGAACAAGTTGAAATAAAATAACACTCTTGATGACAGGTCAGGGACCTGCCATCATACTACTGCCATCCTGTCTCCTCAGTGTGATTTATACTTCCAAAATTCAGTTAAGTTTTCTCTACCTATTTTCATTCAAGGAAAATATTTTCTTTCTCCTCACCTTTATTTCTCTTGACCATTTAGACTCAAAGGACAGATGTCATATCATTAAGATATGTGTATGTGTGCATATATATGTGTGCATTATATATATATATATATATACACACACACTAAAAAAATGTATATGCATTAATATACTTATGTGTATTTTAATAAATAAACTGCTAATTAAATGAGGCCTTGATCTCACTTAGAGACTGTAAGTGCCATGCTAATACAAATACTCACACTGGAACAGGTTAGATACTTGGACAAAATACTCTCTCCCCCCCCCCCAGTATGAGTAACTTAGCAATAATGAATATAAATTAATTAATTAATCAATTGCAGGACTACCTTTGTGTTTAGCGCATAGATATTGGTGAGGCTATAAAAAGTCACAAATTAAGCTGAGCACAATTATTCACATGTGCAAACTCCTTGGATGCTCTGATGCTGCTTAAGCCACCTTGGATTGGATGTACTGCCAGTGTGGGGAAAAAATTAATCCCTTATCACCTATGATGGTATTAAATAAAACTGAGTAAGAACAATCAGCGCAGGATATAAAACGCATAACGTGAGAACAAATCTTTTCACTTGGTGAGAATATTGATTACTTTGGCAAAACTGGCCTGAAGTGAATTATTGTGTTAGATCTAACACGGCCATAGAAGTGTATCACTTTTGCAAAAATACAGCTGTAGAAGGCAAACACATTGCATATTACAGTCATCATTAAATCCATAAAAACTGTATTTAGCTCAAGAAAAATATTTAATAATACTGCAGATATTTCCGTAAATTATACATAAGTATTTTTTTCCAAACTATAATCAATACAAGAGCTTAATCCTTCTACTGATTTAAACAGATAAACTTCACATTCATTGTCTCTTGCAGACACACAAGTTCTTTCTTTCCTCTTGCAAAATAATTTTTTACATGTTTCCCTCTCAATGAATTAAATGCCTGTGAAAATGGTGTGTTAATGGTCAGCAGCCAGGATAGTACCAGTCAGGATGTACCCCTGAGGTAGTGCTTGTGGCACAGAACAGGGGATAAAAGAAAAATGCCCAATTTTTCTAAGCTTGAATCATGGTGTTTCATTTCACTGTGGATTTAGCCAGGAGTCCGAGCTAGCTCAAACCCATTCACCAAAGTAGGCTCCTGCAGGTTCTAACGGAGCTCTCACTGCTTAGAGTCAGAAGAATTCGCCTTCAAGATCTCTGCCAGCAGGTGCAGAGACTGGCCTTCCAGGACAACATCACCTCCTTTGATTAGGGCCTCCTTTGGCTGCCTGCATGTCCCCTTGCTGGCAGCTAGTCTGAGTATCCCCTTTGTTGATGGTCTTCTCATGTACCGCATTGTAAGGATATTCTGCAGGAAAAGTGGGCAGGAATGAGAAGATAGTGGCTTTGCTGAAGACAGACCCCCCTGGCAGGTGGACTTTTCCTCAGAGACTTCAGTAGGTTTGGATGGGGAGACACTCTCCTTCCATTGGGCGGGATCCAGTTGCTGCTCCAAGCAGATTACATTGGGAGGACCCTGATTTTGCCCAGTCCACACTTGTGTTGGAGGGGTGAACCCCACTCATTTCCCTGGGGTGAGTCCCGCTTCCCTGCAAGTGAAACAAGGTCTAGGTCAAGACTTCCCCTTCAGTTCAATCTGGCAAGAAATGTGAAGAACAGTAAGAAAGGTTTCTAAGCATATCTACAGCAAAAGAAAGACTGGGGAAAACACGGGCCTGCTGCTGAATGGTGCCTGGGACCTGTGATGACAAATGACATGGAAAAGGCCAAGGTACTCAGTGCCTTCCCTCTGCAGTGTTTATTGGTAAAACCAGTTTTCCGGAATCTGAGGTCCCCGAGACCCTAGGGAAGGGCTGGAGCAAGGAAGGATTAACCTCAGTGGAAAAGGACCAAGTTAGAGAGCACTTCAACAAACTGGGCATACATTAAGTCCACGGGGACAAGTGCTGAGGGAGCTGGGCGATGTCATTGCAAGACTACTCTCGATTATCTTTGAACAGCCCTGGTGACTGGGATAGGTTCCTGAAGGCTGGAAGAAAGCAGATGTCACATCTGTAGACCTGGGGAACTACAGACTGGTCAGCCTCACCTCAGTCCATGGGAAGGTGATGGAGCAACTAACCCTGGAAGCCATTTCTAAACACATGAAGGACTAAAAGGTGATCAGGAAGAGTCACTCTGATTTATGAAGGGGATAATCATGCCTAACCACTGTGATGGTCTTCTACAATGAGGTAACTTGCTTGGGTCTGAGGGGACAGAGGAATACCTCAACTTTAGTAAGGGTTTTGACACCGTCTCTCATAACATCCTCAAAGAGAAGCTGTAAAAGCATGAGTCAGATAAGTGAACAGAAAATTTATTGAAAAACAGCTGAAAAATAGGGTGCAGAAAGTTGTGATCAATGGAGTAAAATCCCAGCTGGAGTCTGGTCATTGATGTTTTATCCCAATCCGGTCATTGATGTTTTATCCCAAGGCGTAAGACTAAGACAAATACTGTTGAAACTCTTTGTGAATGACCTGAATGGAAACTAAGAAATGCCTTGTGTGGTCAGAGGCAGAATGGAGTCTCTGTAATGCAGAGTGAATTTCTTGGCCATGCTGACCTTGCCTTTGTTTCTTCCTGGTTGTGCAAAGAATTCCTCCTGGGCGACATGGTGGACAAACCCCTGCCCAGCTCTCCACACACTTCTCAGGCCCATCCGGGGTCTCCACCATGTCTAGAGCTAGTATGACCTTTCACAGAATCACAGAATGTTGGGGATTGGAAGGGACCTCAAAAGATCATCTAGTCCAATCCCCCTGCTGGAGCAGGAACCAAAACGAGATCACAAAGGAAGGCGTCCAGGTGGGTTTTGAATGTCTCCAGAGAAGGAGACTCCACAACCTCCCTGGGCAGCTTGTTCCAGTGCTCTGTTGCCCTCACTGTAAAGAAGTTTCTTCTCAAGTTTAAGCGGAACCTCCTGTGTTCCAGCTCACACCCATTGCCCCTTGTCCTATCATTGGGCATCACCGAGAAGAGCCTGGCTCCATTCTCATGACATTCGCCCTTAACATATTTATAAACATTAATTAGGTCACCCCTCAGTCTCCTCTTCTCCGAGCTAAAGAGACCCAGCTCCCTCAGACTGTCCTCATAAGGGAGATGCTCCACTCTTTTAATCATCTTGGTGGCTCTGTGCTGGACTCTCTCAAGCAGTTTCCTGTCCTTTTTGAACTGGGGAGAACTGGACACAATATTCTATAGCCCCATCCCCCTTCAAATCTAGTTTAAAGCTCTCCAAATGAGCCCTGCTAATTCCAGCCTCCTTTTGCCCCTGTGAGATAAGCCTTCCCCACGTTTGAATGTCCGGACTGGTGCCTTATAAACCCAGCCATTACCAAAGAATCCTATTAAAGAATCCAAAACCCTGCCTGAAGCCCCAGTCTTTTAGCCACTCATTTATGGCCTGAATTCTCCTATTCCATCCCACATCAGCACCTGAAAATGGAAGGACAGAAGAGGAAATTACTTGTGTCCCAGACCCTTTCACCAACTGTCCCAAGGCC